GTCATAATGTGCCTATATATGGTCATGATGCGCCTATATATGGTCATGATGTGCCTATATATAGTCATGATGTGCCCATATATGGTCATGATGTGCCTATATATGGTCATGATGTGCCTATATATGGTCATGATGTGACCTTATTTAGGCATGTTACATGTTGTTGTCTAATAAATTTTAGTAGTCTAAACAGAGCTTAAAAATGTTTTAACCCAAAAACTTAAATTGTATTCCACTATAGGCCTATAATAATATTTGTCTATAATCCAGCTTTTGATCCCAATTCTATACCTCATCTCCAATCTTCACACATCAAAATTATTTATGAAATGACTCTCTCCTACAAGGCGCTCAAGCAGTTGATGTAAATCTGTTGTGTCTTCTGCCTAATTACACAGGGCTAATCATATGAAAGTAAACACAGTACATTGGAGTCCAACACGCATTCACAAGTCTGACATAATTAATAATAATATTAAGATGTTGTAACAATTAATTATGTACACCCACAAAGAGTACACAGTAACCATAGCTACACCAACAAATAATCACAAACAACACAAAACCACTGCAGATCAGTGAAAACCATTTCTGCAGAATGAAATGCACTTTATCCTTTGGATTTGAATGCCTAAATTGAGTACTTTATTATGGTTAATGTAAAAAAAAATGTTTGGTGGCAAATTTCATCATGCTACTGAAGTCCATCTAAAATAATAAGTCCAATTATTGATAGGTCCATGTTTTCATAATACCTGTAACCATAATATTATTCTTTAGTTATCCCTAATGAAAATCACTGCAAAACATTATTGCATGTACTGAGATGTACTTTCCGTAGAATTTTAATGTCCAAATTGTTGAGATAATGCTTGATTTTACTTCATTAAGATGCTATCCAACTTTTAAGCATTCCAATCCTGTTGGACCTGCTTTTCCATACATGACAAACACTACATTATTTGTTTAAGTTCTTTCTCAGATTAATGAGTGGATCCAACAGGCAGCTAAATTACTGAGATTTGTAGATACAATACGGAAAATTAAAAACTGTAGAAAGAAGGAAGGATCATTATTTATATCGTATAAAAGGAAGCCGACTTAACTATGACAATACTACGATTGCCTCTGCTCGGTGAGGAAATAAGCATTGCATTGTGTGCAGTTCCTGTCTATAAATAAAGCCCTTGCTTCGTGAAGGTGAAGGCGTAGACACGATGATGAGTAGAATAGTACAAGGAGTGCTACTACTACTGTAGTACTAGCTAGACTTATCCCAGTGATATAATACAGTATTTTCATACTTATTACAAGTAGTACATACTTATTATGGAACATAAATTTTGCCCAGCGCCAGTCAAGCTACCTTTATCTCACCTGCAGTAAAGTAAGCACCTCCCTGCTTAAAATAACCAGTTGCCTTCATGTTTACTTCCCAAACTGGCTGGTATGTAGCTCTAGGGAGGTGCTGATCATCATACTGTTTATGTCTTCCTAATTATATTTCATAACCTTACAGACGAAACTTAAAACAATCTAACAAGCTGATTCACAAACCTTTTCTTGGAGGAGCTGTGTTTTGTTATACACCGGCCGGGTGTGAAAAGAACCAGTATTATAGTCTGCAGTGATAGCGTCTTCACCTTCTCAATCTCTCACACACAGCTCTTTAAATCTCTATATTATTTTGATCGAGCGCCCCCTATAATATCATTTTTTTTTCAAATGATGGCGTTTATACATAGTTTCATTTCATCTGAAAGGTCCAATTTAGTTCAATTTTGTTTATGTCCTTATTTCAAAGTTACAATTACATACTGAAAATTAGAAAAAAAAAAATATGCAAAAACGGAGACGAAAGCCCAATAAGATATAATAATCTTGTCACTCATCAGAATTTTCCTCTATTATCATCATCGCCATATCGCAAATAGTTGACGTTTGAAGAAATTTTAAGTCATACCTCATAAGTGCATTTCCGCGCTGGTTTCAGGGGCCTTGTGGCCTGAGCCCGACCCTCGGGCGCCGCCACTTCTTCTTTGTAGGTAATGTTATTCACTTTTCAATTAAAAATTAGAGGAAATATTTTCATAAATATTAGGCTTAGACCTATTTTTTTTTCTTAACCTCAGCAAAACTTACTTACTTACTTGATTACTTTATACTTACATACTTACTTACTTACCGGTACTTATCGAACATTAAATTATTATGTTATTATGATGGAATGGAATGATTTTCCACGCTCTATAACTGTGCGGCGAAGTATTTCATTTCTTTCTTAATGAGAGTTTCACCATCAGAGACCGGCTGTTTGTTAATTTTTACTTTTTAAATGTTTGATACATTTTTGGTATGAGAATGTTCCATCAGCGCTTGCTGAATCCTCCGAGATTTGCTATCTTCAAATTATATCCGGCAGTGTTCAGTTAGTTTCTTGAAAAACGCTCTCTATTGGGTACTGGACTTACGTGAAGTCTCTCAGGAATTTTCTTTCTTAAAGTTGCAAGGGTTTGTGATATTATTGTGACAAAATCGACCTTATGATTATTGAATATGATTACATGATGATCAGATGGGAAAAATTTATCACTTTAACATCTAAAACTATTTTTCATTTATTAGGCCTAGTTGTTAATATTTGTTAGAATTTGTTTGTATTATTTTATTATTATTGTTATTAGGCCTATTATTATTATTATTATTATTATTATTATTATTATTATTATTATTATTATTATTATTATTATTATTATTATTATTATTATTATTATTATTATTATTATTATTATTATTGGGAACCCGACATTCTTTTAGTCATTCGGATACTAGTCTCATGCAGCTCAGTCGACATAGGCCTATCTAAAATGAACAAAATGAAAAAAAAGGAAATACCACTGATTATTGCATGCCGTTTTCATGTGTAGGCTATTGTTTCTGTTTATATTCATTTAGAATCATTATAAATTTCAAAAAGGCCTGTATCCTAAAATGATATTCCCTTGATAAGTTCATGGTTCAATAGACTTGTATGGAAAAAAAAAATAGCGTAACATATTTAAAGTTGGCCTACTGGTCTTTTATGTGCCTTATATGCCAACAAGTTCTCCGTCTTATTAAATTCATCTTTGCTTAAGTAAATCGACGTAGCATTAACAAATTTCAAATATTGCCTTTAACAACGTAATTTGCTAAATGTTTCCTTCCTGGCATATTGAGAAAATTACCAATGATACACCACGATTTTATCTTCTATCACCCCATTGGTAGATCTGGTTAATTTTATTCTGAATAGCTGATTTCCCCTACTTTAGTACTTAAACGATGGAAGGTTGTCGACATACTTTTATGCCGGAACAGCAGCATCATTTTGAGCTTGGGATAATTCTACATGATCAAATTAGGCCTTGCCCGCGCTCAAGGTCAATTTACTAGTCTGCACTTCCCATCGGCGCTACTGCCAATTAATATACAGACCTGAAATTTGTAGCGTAACATAAATAACAACGTCTTTTTTAAACGCCCTCTCTTGTCAGTACGATTACCGTACCTGATTGACGTACTTATTTTAAAATTTGTATTATTAGTTTAGTGACTCTCGTATTACAAACCTTTATATGAGACATGTCCTCCACCCACATGAAATAACACGTACTGGGCGTAGTCGCACTCATTCCACACATATTATAATATTCATGTCCGTTTACTTTCATTCTTTATTTCTTTCTGCTTAATCAAACCATGGATGTATTTTTATACCTCCCTGATCAAACAATCAATATTTAGGATACGTTACGCTTTTACAACAGCGGTACACACCATAAGGCACTTCATCGCAAATTAATAGAATACACAAAAATATAACATGGATTGAAATGTTGCAATGTAAGCTAATAAAACCGACTTCATCGAATTCACTGTAATATAGCTACTTGAAATACGGCGATTCAGTAAGCAAAATAAAATGAAAAGATAAACTTAAAAAGGTAAACATCCTCGTATTGGTAGACATGATATGGAGAGACAAAATAGGGGCCTACGTATTATAAAATTATAATACAGTAGAAACCCGTAGTACCAGTGCAAATATATAGGAATTTGGGTTAACCCCGATTTTACGAATACCCGCAATTACGAACGGCTATAGGCCCGTGCCGTACGTACGGTAATTAAGGGGTTCTACTGTATATTGAACATCATTGGCAAGGTAAAGTAATTCAGGAGTGTTTACCAACCGTGGGAGGGGGAGATGGTGGGAGGGGATGTTGGTAAAAATCTGTCTGTTTAGCCCAGGGGCCAAGTCCTAGTTAGTCATTTCAAAGGTTAAGTTTAAATTAATTTTTGAGACTACTAATATGAAAATACATTTCGTTTTCTCCCCGACGGAATGTGTTTTCTCCCCGGACCCCGCTGCCACCTCCGATGGGTCAATTCAGTCCTTCACCCAATACAATTACCGAAAAATTACATGAAATCAAACTAAAACTGTAGTTTTCTATTTTTTTTAAATTGTAAAATAGCATTAAAAAAAATATTTTAGCCATCATATAGTTATAATTTTTACAATTGAGGTAGACATAGGCCCACCAGTGTTACTGGTCACGGAGTTTACACGGAGTGTATCGCACCACTTACTATAATAATTAGTTTAGGTAGTTACGGAGAAATACGGTACCGGTATTCATTTTTGTTGGACCAATGTAAACTAGCTTGCCTGATAACATTTCGATGTAATGATACGGTACTTGTCGTGTCGGATTATACTGAATCGGGATTAATACGAAATCTACAGGCCTATAATTGGTGACGGGAAGAACGTCCCTTGTGTATGTTAGCCGGGGTCTACATTTAAATTGCGTAGATGTACTACCATCAGTCAAAAGATATAAAAATCAAAAATTGTAATTTTAATTGCTTAACTTGCATATTTAATAAAGTTTATTAACTTCAAAAAGTGCGGCATAATATCAGTGAAAAAGACAGGAAAATACCTAAAAAAATTGAAATAAAATGTAGGTCATTTTAAAAGATGTACTATTATCAGTCATAATGTATAACAATTATATAAAAATGCACTTCAGCAGTTTATTTGCTTTTGTTTATTTAAGAAAGTTATTAACTTAAAAATTTAAGTCTACTATCAGTCAAGAAGATAGGAAAATATCTAAAACAATTTAAATAAAATGTAGGCCTAGCTCATTTGAAAGGATCAAATAAATTAATTGCTTCCAACGAGAAACGGACCTAAAAAAAATAGTTTTCACCGATTTACAGGCATGATATAAAATACCTTAAAATGATTACCAGCCAATTTAAGAATCCAGGCGTCCTATTCAAAAGAATACAGGAAAGTTATTACATATTTAACTGTATGAAAATACATTTTAAATTCAAATTTGTTAGTTAATATTAATGATGATGATGAAGATAATAATAATAATGATAAAAATAATAATAAAAATAATAATAAAAATAATAATAATAATAATAAAAATAATAATAAAAATAATAATAAAAATAATAATAAAAATACTAATAAAAATAATAATAATAATAATAATAATGAGATACATAATCAAATACACTAATTACGGTAAGCAATTCAAATGTGGAATTATAATTTAAATTTTTTTACTTCATAACTGATTCATCTTTAAATGTAAGAATTTGCATGAAAAAATATATATAGTCCTTGTTGGCCTCTCTGTATTCTTTATAGATCCTTAAATTGGCTGGTAATCAAGTTAAGGGTTTATGTAGTAAAATGTCTGTAAATCGATGAAAACTACTATTTTTTTTCCGATCTGTTTCTCGTTGGAAACTAAAAATTTATTTGATGAGCTATTAACAATTTATTTTATAGTCTTATGTAATTTTTGGTGTCTCTTTGACAGATAGTACAAAAATCCAAAAATCAGATAGCTCATGATTTGCATTGAAATATTGTGTTGCTCGTCAACATCCACCGAGACACAATAATTCTTATTTGCTTTAATTTTCAGATGTTTTACTGCAAAATTCCTCCTCTTCAACCTCAATGTCTGCAAAGGGAAACGGTATTTCTATTATTATGCATCTATTAACTTGCTAAAAAATAAATAAATTGTTTAAATTCTCAATAAAGGGTTAATGTTTTTTCTTCTAATATCCAAGTAAATGGTGAATTATACATAATAAGCAATTAACATATCGAATTTGATTTTTACATTTTTTAAGCGTGACTTCCTGGGTAGACGTCTAAGTTCTAAGCATCAAACTTTTAATTGCTTTAACTACTGTACCGGTATATCTGCATTTTCTCAATTAATCATGATTCTGTTACTTTTAATTTAAGAGGATTGGTCAAAGGTCACTAATGTAGAACTAATTTTCCTCTCCCGTCGTCTCCCATTTTACACAATTTTACGAATGTAGAAATATATACCGCCCCCTGTTGAAGGCATAAATAGTATTTTATTGCACTGTATTTAATCAGACTCAGTCCTTGGAGGTTTATAAAATAAATGATCAGACATCGTATTATTACTACAGTACCTTATTAAAGGAGCATTCCTGCACCGAATCCGAATTTTAGGATCGGAACTCCTGCCGAAGCGATCGGAAATCGAATCAGTAAGAATATGGACGCTGGCGTTTAGCGTTTCGGAAACACGGTCCGAATTTTGGTTCGGAC